GATGGTTCAGTGCTCAACTGATAACCAAAAGATCAGATGTTCCATTCCACCACACAGTGACCCTGCAGAACAGAGTAGAGCTGATCTACAGAATTTCCAAGGCTATTAATCTTTTTTTATTTATCTGACCATACTTTAAGAAGTTTCATTGATATAAATTCACATATCATACACTTCCATAGTTAAGCTGCTTTTTAAAAGAGTTGTAAATACATTATCACAATCAGTTCTTGTGCACTCTCCCCCTTCCCAAATTAGTTATTCACTCCTCGATTCCCAAAGCTGTAAATTTTCCTGGAAGCAGACTGCTCCATCTTTCTACTGTGGAGAGCTGGGGAGGTGAAATTGTCAACCTTTCAGTAGCCTAGCACCTAACCATGAAAACAGCCACTGTGTCCAAAGGCTCACTGCGTCAGAGTTGACTTGATGGGACACGAGAAAATCAGGTCCACCTTAGGGTTGTATCTTTTATACCACACCCTTTCTTTGAAGAAGCCTGGGCTCCCCACACCCGCCCAGTCTCCTGCCTTCAGAGGCTCAGAACTCCCTCCACCCTCAGACCCGCTTATCTATACACTGGCACCTACACCTGCACGTAGTGTTGCTACAGTGCTGGAAGGTCAAACACCAGCAAGATAACCCCTGGTAGACCGGTTTCAGTGGTGCTTCCAGACTTAGGAAGACTAAGAAGAGGAGCCTGGTGATCTCCTTCCAAAGATGAGCTGATGCAAACCCTGTGGACCATGCAGGAGAACACCGATAGAGTGCTAGAAGGTGAGCCCCTTAGGTTGAGAGGCTTCAAGGTACATGGTGGCTGCAACAATGAACTCAGATTTGTCGCTGGCCATGAAGATGGTGCAGGACAGGGCAGTGTTTGGTCTGTGATATATGAGGTTGCTCACTTGACAGCCACTAACAGCGACAAGAAAAAGCCCTGGCTTCCTGAGTGAGGCTCCTCGCTTGCACAACAAATGGATAAGCACCATGAAGAGTATATTATAGGTCAAATAATTAGAAACAGAATTCTGAGCAGCAAGGGGAAGACTGATCATCTCCTAAAATATAAGAAGTAAAAATCGTTCCTAAGTCAAAGTCCCTCAATGGAGGAAGGAAATGCCCTTGGGTTTGCACTTGGCTGATGACCTAAAGTCCCACTGCTGTCTAGTCAATTGCAACTCATTGTCACCCTAAAGGACAGAGTAGAACGTCCCATTGGGCTTCCAAGCTGCAAATCGCAATGGAGGTGGATGGCTACATGTTTTGCCCATGGAGCGCTGGTGGATTTAAACTACTGACTTTTTGCATTTGCAGCCAAGTATTTTAACTAGCCCTGGCAGTGTAGTGGGTTATGTATTTGGGCTACTAAGCCCTAAGTTAGTAGTTCGGAACCACTAGCTGCTCTGTGGGAGATAGATAAGGCAATCTAACTCTGCGTTACAATCTCAGAAAGCCACAGGGGTGTCTAGCCTGTCCTATAGACTCATGATAAGTCGGAGTCGACTCAAGGCAGTGACTTGTTTGTTTGTTTTAGTTAACCTAAAGATGTGGGCAGGTCAAACCTGGTGATTTGCTTCCTGAGAAAACCCTATGGAGTAGTTTTCCTCTGTAAGATATGGTTCACTGTGAGTCAGAATCAGATTGATGGCAGCTAACAACAAGGAGCCCTGGTGGCATAGTGGGTTACACATGAATCTGCTAACAGCAAGGTCAGCAGTTCAGAACCCACCAGCCCCTCTGCAGAAGAAGTGAGGCTTTCTGCTTCGGTAAGGAGTTAGTCTCAGAAACTCAAAGGATTTACAGTCTCAGAAACTCAAGAGTAGTTCTACCCTGCCTTATAGAATTGTTATGAGTCAGAATTGAGTTGATGGCCATTGGAATTTTTTTAAATTATTTTTTTTAGAACAACCACATGGAAGAAGGATATATATATATATATAGTTGTCAAGCCCATTGTTGTCAAGTGAATCCCAACCCTATCTAGGGTTTTTGAGATTTTAAATCTTTATGGGAGCAGACAATCTCATCTTTTTCCTGTGGAGTAGCTCATGCCTTTTAGTTAGCAACCCAATATGCAAACCACTCTGCCACGAGGACTCTTTATGGAGAAGTAAGGGGAGTTCAGACAGAGACAGGGAGAACCATTGACTATGTCAACTGGACAGGTTTGTTCGAGTACCTGTGCCATCCCATATTCTGTCCTGGATGCTACATCAAAGACAGGAAACATTTCAATTTGGGGATAGGATTGGAGGGGAGGGGGGTTGGGGGGGCGGAGGAAAAATATAAAGACTGACGAGCCAAGAGGCAATTATAGTGATAATGTGTTAAGTGGGCCAGGATGTAGATGCAGTAGAAAAAGATGATATGAGAAGACAGAAGCCAAAATCCTCACTGCCATCGAGTCCATCCCAACGCGCAGAGCCCCCACATAGGGTTTCTAAGACGAAATCTTTATGGGAGCACACAGCCTCACTTTTCTCCCCAGGTTGGAACCTGCAACCTTGCACTTCATAACCCAAATGCCTAACCCACAGCACAGTGAGAGAGCACAAAGGACTTGGGGGTAGGGAACAGGGTCAGAGAAGCAGAGAGAGGATGTATCAGAAAGAGCAGCAGGAGTGTGCCCGGGGCCTAGCACATCACATCCCAGCTATGAAAATTGCCTCGCTCTGTAGCATAAGACCCTGCTGGGAGGGATGACAGGGAATTACACAACTGGCAACCCAGTGAGCCCTGGTGGCATAGTGGGTTATGCTTTGGGCCGCTAATCACAAGATCAGTAGTTTAAAACCACCATCTGCTCCTTGGGGGAAAGGCAGGGATTCTACTTTAGTAATAATTTGCAGCTTTGGAAACCCACAGGGGCGGTTTTACCCTGCCGCATCGGGTTGCTGTGAGTGGGATTTGACTTGGCGGCAGTGAGTGAGAACCTGACAGATAAGATTCCTGCCAATCCCTTCCACTTGTATGTTATCCTTAAGTCAGGGGAGGCCTTGCAGGTTTGAACTAGGACATGCTTAGACTTGCTGCTTAGGAAGGTCCGGTTGAGGGGCTTAAATGGAAGGGGGGAGGATCTAGAACCTACATCCCTTAGTGTTTCCTTCCCCCCTGGTCCTCTGCCACTTGACTTACTGTTAGGGGCTCTCCCAAAATTGATCTGCGACAGCACACTGCATGATGCTTTCACTCAACTTGGAGAGAGATGAAGAAAACCTTAGAGCTTTATCAAAACAAGCCTTTGGGATCGGCTGCCAGGGCGGGAGCTCGGGGAAAGGGATTCTGCTTTCCAGAGGCCACACAGTAAAGTTCTGCCCGGTGAGACCACTGGCTCCTCCATAAACTTGGACTAGTGTGTGACCCCCCACTGCTAGTGTGTTAGGTATAGAATAGACCCCTGGGGTTAATGCTAGCTATTGTTAGTGTCATCTGGTTGGCCCCAACTAAAGGTGACCCCACACACAATGGGATGACAAGCTCCCTGGTCCTGCAGCCATCCCCGTGGTTACTTGTGGATCTAATCATTGTGATCCACAGGGTTCTCATTGGCTGAGTTTGCGAAGTAGATCACTGGGCCTTTCTTCCTAGTCCATCTGAGTCGGGAAGCCCCGCGAAGCCCATACGGTCTCATAGCTGCACTCAGCCTCCACCGATGAAGAGATGGGTAGTGAATGGCGCGCATGCGGGCTGCTGGCCAAGAATCAAACCCAGGTCTCTTTAATGGATGGTGAGAACTCCACCGGGAGCCAGCACTGCCTCAGTTCCCTAGCAGTGGCACCTTTTTGCCAGGGTCATCCTCAAGCACAGAGAGCCGACAGTCTGGCAATGAAGGGCTCAAACCTAGCAATTGCTGGGAGGGTGGCGCGGGACCAGGCCTGCTCTTAGCCATACGGCCATTCTGAGTCGGAGCCAACTCAGTGGCACGTAGCCCGTGTCTCTCCTCTGACTGTTATGAGGAGGAAATGGTAAATCAGTGAGAAGAAAGCAGGCCTGGTGGCACAGCGGTTAAACACGTGGCTACCAACTGAGAAGTTTGTGGTTCGAGCCCACCAGCTACTCCATAGGAGAAGACGGATCAGTCTGTGTCTATAAAGATTTTCAGCCTTGGAAACCCTATGCGGCAGGTCTACTCTGCCCTGTAGGATCGCTGTGAGTTGAGTTGACGGTAATGAGTTTAGTTTGGGGGGTCGGGGAAGGGAAAAGTGGGGGTATGGTGATTCATGAGGCTTAGGTGAGTAAGTGTAGAGCCAGGGGGAAGCCTAGAGAAAGGACTCCAGGAGGTCAAGTGAACAACAGAAGAAAGCTGTGATTCGTGCCTTACATATTTAGCATCGGCCCAGCCACTCTTGGGAGACCACATCTTCCCTTCTCCGATGAGCCCAAGGGCCAGATGAGAGAGGGGCGCCAGGTCTCCACTGGCGCCAACCGTTCCTTTCTCCGGAACATAGGGCAGGCAGGAGGCTAGGAGAGAAGGAGGCAGCGTCATGTCACAACTTCATCCCCACGGTCCTCCTTTTGCCATCACCCACCTCCCAAATGCCACCTGGCATGGAAATCATTCCTCCAGCCCAGCCATGAATGCTTGAGAGCCCTGGCTCCACTGCTATAGGAAGAGAGGGAGGGGGGAGGGAGGGAGAGAGGATAGGTGAAGGCCGTTAGTAGGCAAAACCTTCAAAATGTACACTTTCCAATTTGATCCAATACTTCAGCCTCTAGAAATGTTAGCAATGTGCCTGAAAGGCTTGATTAGGAACTGGCAGCGGTTCATTACAGCCTTGTTTACAAGAATGAAAGGTTTGAAGTTATCTAAATAAAATGTTTGGAAACGTGTTTGCGCTACAGAGGAAAATGCAATCTCATAGGAAAACAATGTAAACGGTCCTAGAAAGCGTTAATAGGTTCCCTCGGAAGAGAAAGGCAACTTCACCTTTTTTTTAGACTCTTAGTCACCTAGTTGCATTTCAAATAGGTTATATAAAAGCTTGGCTTCATTTTGCTGACGTCTGATCAAACCTCAGACAGTAATTATTTCTTCCAACCGCTGCGCCGTGGCTGTCGGAGCAAGCAGTGCCACCCACGGCCAGCTCCCAGACCACGGCTCCCCTGGGGGGATTCTCAGAGCCCTACAGACCCCTGGGGGAGCCTTAGTCTCACCCAGAAAACACAGATGGGCTCAAGGTCAAAGTTGTGCTAGCTGAGATTTTAGGTGAAGCAGACCAGGGAGGGAGAAAACAATGAGACTTCGACTTATGACAGGTGTGTTTAGCACGACCCTATCGGCTCTTCATTCACACTGATATCCGCCAAGTGGCATATTCACAAGTTCCTTTATCCATAGCATGAGGGTTTGTACTCTCTGACTCCCTAGCTCTTTCTCGTCCTACTCCTTCCCCCAGAGAGTCATAGAGGCTCTGCTGACCTGGAAATGTCATCTTAGGCTGTGAGACAAAGGAGTAACCTCCCAAGAGTTTCAAATGTGATCTTATCTCAAGAAGTACTCCTGCTCTTAGTTTATGACAGGAAGTCTTACAGCTCTGTGGAGCTTAGCTGCATATCTGCTGCTATCTGGCTTTGGGATCACAAGCTAGTCATCACCCTCTTGGAAAGTCTCTTTTACCTTTGCACGGAGTTGGGTATCAATGTTTCTGCTCTTGGGAGCATTGGGTCCAAGTTACAAGGCACCAACCAGGTCTACTTTGGCAGTCTTTGGGGTGGACGCTCAGAAATCATTATGCTCCCCAGATAATTGAACGCTTCACTAACTTTCAAGGACGCCCTGGATCAACGGTTCTCCTTACTCCTGCATTTAAGGCCAGACTAAGGAACTCGCTTACAGATGCAAAATACTAAGTGAGGGGTGATGCCGAATGGAGTCCAGTGGTTGGGAATAAGTATCCCTGTTCCACTCCCCGCATCTTTAGCTGATCTTCTTGTCAAGGTCATCTTCCATGTATCTCAATTATATTGTATCTTTTTTTAAAAATCTCAGTCACTTGCTCACCAACCTGGTCAACTGATTCTACCTTGGGATATATGTCCAGGCTCCCTGGAGGGTCCCCTCACCCCGGGATCCATTACATTACCATTAAATGCTTCGATAACTTGTCGGAGGGTCTCTAGGGAAATGCCGCTGTATCCTTTGGCTAAGACATTAATCCTTAAGGCCAAGAGCATCCGACATCGCTCAGGGGTGAGTGGTTTTCCAACACCTAGGAAACAGAACGGATCTCACATTGATCTCCACTTCAGTCTAGTTTCCTGCCCGCTTCTTCCTCTGGTCCCACACAGGCTGTTCCCCTGCCAGCCTGCCTCACCTCTCGAGGTCCCCTCTGTCCCCCTGACAGATGGAAAACCTTCTCGTTCCATCTTCTCAATTCCCCTTCCCAAAACACTTTGGAGGGGCTCTGGTGGTGTAGTGAGTACCCACTGAGCTGCGATCCACAATGTCAGCAGTTCAAAACCACCAGCTTCTCTGAGGGAGAAAGACAGGGCCGTCTACTCCCGTTAACAGTGAGTCTCGGAAACTCACGGGGGCCCTTCTACCCTGTCCGATAGACTCGCTATGCGTCGGCATTGACTCGACGGCAGGGAGGAGAACAGGGAGTGAGGACCGCCGTCCTTAACGTCCTGACGCCCCAGCACAAGCTCCTTCGCAATTTGATGGAGATGGTTTTGTAAACGGCTTTCTCGTCTCATCTGGCACCTCTGCACTCACGGCCTGTGTTCAAGCCAGGAATTTAGCCTGACTTGATTATGCTCTCACCATGATGTGGCCTGCACTCCAGCCCTGGCCCCAGCCCCCACCTGTCTATCCATCTGAGCGTCAGCTGAAAGGTGGTCTTGTCTAACATTTCCCCCTTCCCTTCCACACGGGGAGTAGAGTTTAGAAGCTAGTCCTTGGAATGTAGTAGACCCTCCGAGGGATCTCACAGTGTCAGGGTTGAGTCATTTAATCAAACAAGATCTAGGCCAGCTTCTGGCACCAGAAGGCACGCCCACAATGCGAAGTTATTACCTGAGGAATGTGAACGCACTAAGTTGAACTGGAGCTCCCTGGAAGAGAAATGGTAGAAAAATAAAAATGTTTTTAAAAACCCAAACAATCAAATCTTAGTGAAAATGCTCATGCAACTGGGCCTATAAAGGGGAAATAGCTTGAGCTGTAGCAGGATAGAAAGAGGCAGTGTGACGCCGTGGAAGGAACTACGAAGTGTGTGTTTTCAACACCCCACTTTTGTGTGTGCCTTCGCTTAAGCCTCCTCCTCTGTACACTTGGGATGACGCGCAATTCCAGAGCTGCAGAGATTGAGTAAAACAGGTTTCACTGAAATTCACGTTCATCGCTTCCCTTGTTGGAAGACACGCGCGCGTACATGCGCGCGCGCGCGCGCGCACACACACACACACACACCACCCTTTAAGAGCTGCTGGGCAGAAGTGCAAATCAAACTTACTCTAGCTTATTGATAGGAATGACAGTTCTGGCAAATTTCCCAAAGCCTGTAGTGATGCCATAAACAACTGAAAGAAAGAAAGAGAAAAACAAGACGTTGGAAAATTAGATGCAAGTGCATTTTTCACGTCCGCGAAGAGAACGCTGTCACACAGAGAGAGAAAGGTACCCGTCTTTTCTTTGATGATGCTATCGATGACCTCCCTGGATTTCTGCACCTTCTTCTCAGCAGTCGGGGTGAGCTGTGAAAATGATGTTCCGAGTTGAGCACGTGGGCGACCTCCTTCCCTGTGGGTGGCCCCAGTGACCGCAGAAGCTCCTCCTCCCCACCCGGTACCTTTATCTTGTAGCGGCCCTTTCCCAAGTTGACCAGGTCCTCTGGGGTCAGATTGTCCCCGTCTATGTCGATGTACTGCCCAGAAGAAAGACATTTCAGTGAATTTGAGCATTTTAGGTATTGTCCTTCCAAACAGACCCCAGCTTTGACACCACGGAGATGTCATCCCTGGTCAACAGCAATTGCAGTCAGCTGGAGAGCCAGGGGTTTATTTTTGTTTGTTTGGGTGAAACATCCGGGTGCTCATGAAAATGGCAACGGGCTCCAGAGATGGCAGCGTAAGAGACGTGAGTGCAATGCCTTTGCCAGCTCTCTTCCCCTCCAGCCCGGCCTGGATCAGCCCCTGTCCCAGTTCCTGGGCTGGCCCCCTCCATTTTGCTGGTCCTCTCCTTCAGTGAGGGCTGCAAAGACCCGGTTTACTTGTCTTCACCAACAGAAAGGGGTGCCGAGCTTACCTTTGCAGGTTCCCTGTATTTGCTGTATCTGAAGGCCCAGATAAAGGAAACTACTGGATGCTGTGGGAAAGCCCAGGAAGCCCAGCATCTGGCCAGGGTGACCCACGGGGCAGACCAAGGAGCCGGCAGGAAAGGATACAGGTAAACCCCTTCGGGTTGAGATGGAATGAAGTCTGGAGACATGGCATCCCCTTCGATGACTGAAAAAACGCAAGAGAGACTGTTACAGGTCACAACCTGGGGCCACTGTGGATGTTGCTGTTGAAGCAAGCAAGGGCTATTCATAGCTGGTGCAAGACCAGTGTGGGTGCTTTCAGGGGTGGGTCTTAGAGTCTTCACGTAGGAAGAGAGCCACACGTGGACCCAGGTCTGGATGGAAACCAGGTTTAAAGAACACTGGAGACCCATACCGCAGTCCCTCCTGGCTTTACTGTGCTTCAAACTGGAGCCCCGGAACCCTCTATGGTCCTGGCCTCCCTCTGGTTCTTTTCAAGGGCAAAAGGGCCTTTCAATAGTTCAGTAACAGCAAAGGGACTCAGGTCTGCAGCCTTGGATTCAAATGTAGTCCTCGCTGCCCCCTCGCTACCCTAGCCTGGATAAGTCACCGCCTTTCTGAATCTGTGGCCTCACTGTAAGGTGGCTGAGAATCCTACTTCTCGTGGTGGGTTGTGTGGCCATTTCAGTGGCTCAGGGCACTAAGTAGTGGGGTGCCTGGCACAAGCAAGCTTTCAACATGGGCCACCCCTTCTCATCCTGGGCCCTAACATGGGCAGCTTAGACCCTCCTTCCCAGCAACAGCCCAGGCAGACCGCCAGGCTTGGGTGCCCTTCCCCACCTGCCGCAACATACCCACTTCTATGAACTCATTGTCTTCCAGGGCCAACTCCAGGGTGTCCTCGGGGTCTAGCAGGCCCAGGCCCTTGCACCTGCGTACGAGGAAGTTCACGGAGTCCACCGAGTCGAAGCCGCCATTATCAGGCTTGTTCTTGACGTAGCGCCGTATGGCCTCCCGGCCCAGCCAGCCCACGGTGAGCTGAGCATCCCGACAGGGGACAGCCAGCCACTCCCCACGCACATGTACCGTATACCTGGGCATGGTCCCACCACTGCGACCAACACAACTTCTGTAGCCCGGTGAGTTGCCTCCACCCGGCTGCTCTGTGACTGCTCCTCTGGCAGTGACAGCCGACTGGCTGGGGGAGTTTTATCCAGCAGCGACTGCCAGGGTGTGGTCAGGCAGGAAGACCAAGATGGACTTTCAGATCACACCCCTCCCTCGCCTTCATTCCTGCAGGTGTTGGGAAATTATTTATTAAGGAGCTTCTTTTTTTTCCCCCGAAGGCGCAGAAGAGTAGGACCAGGTAGCTGGGAGGCCTGTCCACCTGTGATCTCGGTTCTTGCTTGCAGAAAAGTCTGGGGTCTCTGGGCTGTTCCTTCCCTTGTCCCGCTCTCATCAGGGTCCCTGACACCATGTTCCTGTCTGTATTTGGAATTACTCAATGGTAAAATATACTCAACTGGCCAACTGTGACACCAGGTAGTGTGGCAATCTTCATTCATTTGTTTACTCCCCAAACACCTGTTAAGCAATGGCTCCCTCTCGCTGGTCAGGGCCCTCTACAAAAGAAGACTGCAGAGACCAGAGATCATGTTCACAACGAAAGGTCATTGTTTGGACAAACGAACCACCTTGGCTTGGAGGTGAACAGCTCAGATAGCCATGGGGTGGGGGTGGGCGACACCCAGGGGCACTATTGATTAGCACCCTGTCTTGGGCAAGTTACTTATTAGTCTCCCTTTCCTCATCAAAAGTAAAGGGGCTAACTGGTTTGTGAGGGTATTTTCAGTATCGAAACTCCCTAAAAACCAAACTCACTGCCATCAGTTGATTCCAGCTCAGAATGAACCTGTAGGACAGGGTAGAACTGCCCCTGGGTTTCAGACTGTAACTGTTTGGGGCGTACACAGCCCTGTCCTTCTCCTGTGGGGTCGGAACGGTAGTTTCCCGCTGCTAAACTTGCAGTTGGAAGCCCAGGGCAGAACAGCTATACCACCAGGCCTACCTGGGTTCAAACCCTGGCCGTACCGTCTGCTAGCTATGTGACCACTAAGAAAGTTGTTCAATTATTCTGAGGCTCAGTTTTCTCCGCTGTAAAATGGGGATAAAAACAGCATCCATTTCACGGGGCTGTTGGGCGTGTGAGCCGAGTTCATGCATATAAAGCCTTTAGAACAACAGCTGGTCCAGCAGAAATGCAATCGTTTGGGATTTCTACGCTTGGAGTTTTAATACTCTTACAGTGCAGTGCACCCCAAGACTCCTGCTCATTGGACCTCCTGGATTCAGGACAGAGCCGTGACACCAGAGGTGCAGACGGAGAATGACGGTGGCATGGCAGAACCAGGAGCTGGAGCACGAGACCGAGAGGTGGACTTCCCAGTCTGCAGAGCAAGTAAAAGCTGAAAGCCTTTGGGCAGGAGACTGGCTTGTGGCATGGGGGTGGCCTCTGGGCACTTAATCGGGGGAGTTGGCTTTGCTGACCCGCTGAGCTGGCGCTTCGGGTCTTTGGGTTGAGGCTTATAGTGGGGTTGCTTGCCCTATGGTCATTTATTGGCAGCCCTAAAAGAACTTTGTAACGTGGACTGAGCAGGACAGAGGCCAGGCCAAGAGGCTGAGGGCCAGAGAGAATCCAGCTGGCCTGTAGGTAGGGCAACGAAGAGACTGTCCTAAGCAAACAATTGTGCTCTGAACATGTCTCACCTCAATAGTGTGCCTTTAACTTTCCTAACAGACCCCATGAATATGTTCTGTGTGTGCATCTCAATGAATTATCCAGCCCCATGGGGGAGTGGAGAGGCTGCAGGAGGGACAGTTGCTGTTGGAATTGGTAAGAAAGTTGGAAGGTGGTGCATGTCTGATTCCTGCCGTAGAGGGTGTCATCTTGGGCTGGTGTGGACTAGGATTCTTCTTTCCCCTTGTGGGGTAGGCGGTCAAACATGGCCTCCACACATGCTTGATAAACAGTCTTTCATCTTGGCACATGGCTATCCCTAGTCTAAGCAAGCTTCAAAACACAGATTAAAGCTCCTGCGCTCCAATCCATGACTGCCAGGATTAGGGCCCTCTGAAGTGAAGCCAAAGGAATGGGACACTCTTGTAACTAGCCAGCACTTTGGTAGCAAGCCAGCGTCTAGGATTTATTATTGCAATAGAAAATGAAGAAGAAAGAAAATCTCTGAAAAGTGTTTACACTAAACTCTGTTTGAAAGATATGATTCCTCACAGAAAATGCCCATCCATGCCCGTGCTCAGAGTCTTTCTCTGAGATCCAGGCGACACGTACAGAGAACTGCCAAGGAAGAGCCCAGTGGAGCCTAATTAGAACTTGTAGGTCAGCCACCCACACTCTGAATTTGCCCTGGAAGTTTTCATCACCAGAAATTAAATCATCTTGAGAAATGCACAGACTATGTGAGGGCCCTGTCTGACCTTTGGTTACACAAGGGAGAAGGAGAAGCCAACTCGACACAAATCCAAGGCTCATTGCCACAAGGCAGAAAGGCGAGACATGCCTTTAGCCTCTATTCTTCGGGGGGAAAACAAACAAACCTGCTAGACAGATTCTAAAAAACCTGGAACGCTGTCAAGCTCTGTCTTTCTATACCTATTCTGCTGCCAACCGTTCCTCCCACGACACTCTACCTACCTTTCTGCTGGCTTGGGTATTTGTTGTAAAGGCCACACAGAACTCACAGGTAAAACTCACAATTTTAGGGATTGAATCAGTGACATAATCTGGTGTCATTTTGAGGATTAAGACTGTAGGGGTGGAGTCTAGCCTGCCAATCTAGCTATAGCCAATGAGGCCTGTGTGTGAGGGTTCTGGTTAACTCCTGTATGTCCTCCTTAGAGGCGGGAGATGCTCTCTCTCTCTGTTCACTGCCTGCGAGACATCCTTGTGGAGAAGACACATGGAGAGAGGCTGATGGAACCAGACCTCTGGAGCCAGAAAAGCCATGTGGAGACCCTTGCCAGCACTGAGATGCTTACAACACCACTGGATCCACAAGACTTCCCACCTACTGCCCCGTGATCTTCCTGCATCTGGCATCATTGCATGTGTTCCGTGCGTCTGAAGAGGATTTTATAGATTGGTATTGGATATATGGGCTGATATCAGACTTGGGGACTTGATCTGGACTGGGCTGGCATGTTTTCTCAATATTCAATTGCTCTTGTATATAAAGCTCTTTCTTATACACGTATGTGTGTCTCTGAATTTGTTTCTCTAGTCTCCCTGAGCTAACACAGGGTTTATTAGAGAAGTTAACAGATTACCAGGAGCTAGGATGAAAAAACATTAAGGATGCAGTCATTTGTCTACAGCGACACTCCTCCCCAGCAGCTAGTCTGCTAAAAGGTCCTCAGCCTCTTAGCCACATGGTTTGTTGGCCTCTGGTCTCCACGGGCCGTGAAGCCTGCCTCCTGCTCTGCCTCACAGTCTCATAGTTGCCGCATTGTTCCTCTTCTTGGTCTTGTGGTCGCTTTCCCTCCGCCTCTTGTCTCCATCTGGCTCCTTTGCTCTGTTTCATGGTCTCTGTACTGCAGCCTCCACCACTTTCCACAGAGATCGTGAGCATACTCCACCGCTGGTTCTTCTTCGCAGCACTCCAGCCACTCCAGCCACTCCAGCTGGGTGGGAGCTCCCGGAGACGGAGACACACTGAAGAGCTACTCACGTCTGAGAATGAGTCAAGAAGGAAAAGGAGAGGGGCTTAGGAGAGAAGACCCGCCTGAGCTTCTCCATTCGGTGGTTTGCATTTGGACTCCAAAGGAGAAAGCTTGAACATGTTCAAAGGCAGGGTCAATAGTAGGGCACCGTGAGTCGGGACACAAGATGATGATGAACACACATGCACGCACTAGCACGCACTCTCATGTGACCAACAGGCATTGTGGTCTGCGGGCACATTTTGATAGATGGAACTCTTTTTGTCTCCAACAGGGGATCTCTGTATCGGTCAGTGTTTGCTCCCAGTTCCTGGAACCTGCAAACAGTGACACACCAAAGGTTCGCTCAGGCTGTGCACCCAAGCACTCCGCCCAGGGGGAACAGGACCATCTCGCCCTTTTTAGCATTTGAAGCAGGTGGTAATATTTTTGCTGCAGCAGTGGATGAATCAAACATCTTTTGCCACTCACGGAGCCGGACAGTAAGTCTTCTTAAACATCGACAAGGTAAAACAAAAATCTTACAATGATTGCAATTCCCCACATTTGCAAATGACTTTTAGGAGATCAAGTATTAGGATTTAACCATTGACAACTATCTTGCAAAGTTTTAAGGGTAGAAATTTGAGTTTCTTGCTGAATAGTAACAAGTTGTTTTTTGAGGGCAGCTTCCAAGTGATTGATCTGGGAGCTGAGATTAGTAGAAAAAACTCCAATTAATTAATTAAGTAAGTAAAAATTCTCAAGGGTGTGAAGTTGCATTATTGATAAGGTAAGGAAGTACCACAAGTACATTGACGTTCCCAAGCACATTGCAAGGTTTGTCTTACAATGACATTCCCAAGTACATGATAAGGTTTGGCTTCTTGTTGGTCTAAATTTTTCAATTGTCCCCAAGTGACTCCTGTTTCTTGGTGAGTTCAAGGTAAGGGGTCGAAGGGATTTACCCTCTTTTTGTTTTTTTAAGGTTATTTTTCATTGACCAGTGGGTTTGTTTAACACAGACCCAATTCTCACCCAGTCCTTTGTTCATAAGTGGTTTCACGGGGTCTGTAACTCATTCTCTTAGCAGGCAGCGCAAAAGCTCCTGTCATTCCTCTTTGAAGAGAGCAAGACCCCAAGCTATTTTGGAAAACGCATGAAGACGGACCCGGCTGCTTCGAGCTGATAGGGGGCGCTGTTGCCCTACGGGGCTCCTCTCATCATGACCCTATTCTTCATCCCTTGGCCTGTGGGGGTGGAGTGGGGCTGGGGAAATGAACCTTCAACAGTGGACTTTCTTTAAGGAAAGTAGTTGCAGCTTGGTAGATGTTTCATAAAGGAATTGGCTGATATCCACTCAAAATCATCTTTATATGGAGTCACTGAAACCTGTAAGACATAAATCTTACTAGAGTGTTTAATAGGAACAAGTTCAAAATGAGTAATGTATGGATTCATGCAGCTTGTTTCTACTAATCTTTTTAAAATTTATAAATCTTTTTATTGGGGGCTCTTCCAGCTCTTATAACCATCCATATACATCAATGGTGTCAAGCACATTTGTGCATGTGCTGCCATCATCAGTTTCCAAATGTTTCCACTAATCGTAAACACCAGAGATACCTCTATGACAAATGTGTTTGCTTAGAGGCCAATGATGTGAGAAAGTCGTAGGAGAGACATTCATGAGCCACTTAGCAGCTCATCTCAAATTGCCAAGTGCAGCAGAGAGAAGGTGTGAGGA